ACTTTACTGTAAGTATAGTATAGTACAGTGCAAAAGTCTTGATCTCTTCTTATTTTACTACTACTTTGGTCTTGTGTGGTTTTGCTAATAGTCTTCCATGTTTTCTGGAGGGGTTTTTTTTGGAAATTGGGTGCTTTGTCAACACATAATTTATTCTGATTTCTTTCATTGATAAATGCTAAAAAGTAAACACAGTGTATATGGACATAAAATTGTATTTGTGCCCCAATAAGTTGATTGCCAATGACAAGTTTAGGTTTTAAGAATTGCACTAAGGCTTTTTCCTTCTTTCTTTTGATTTTTTGCCTGATGCACAGTGTTTTTGGGCATGTCCTAACTAATATATTATTGCACGTATTTCCCGTTTTCCTATCAAAATATCAATAAATGATGGGTGGCTCTAGACCTGTCCACGGTACTGTATGCAAGTATAAATATTTCTGGATATTTTCAGTAGGGGCACATTTCCTGAGAGGACCCACTAGGTTACATTAAAAAGTCAAAAGTTTTTGTTAAGACTATCATGCACAAACACATTAATTCATCCCAGCTGACCTTTCTTCTATAGCACTTTTGCACCAAAATTCAACTTGCACAGAAGACACTGAATAAAGAATGTAGCAGGTTGGTCACCCTGACATTTGCTGACTATATTCATGCTTGTCAAAGAGAGAAACCTTTTGAATTTTCACATTCACTGCCTAGCTCTGCACTGATATCATGAAATAAAGTCTATATTTATCTATATCTATATTTTTAGCACTGTGAGGAGGAAGTGCTAAAAAGAATAAGATAAAAACAACAACAACACAAAAACAAAAGACGAGTAACTAATATATTTCTTTCCAGTCAGCAATTTCATTTTACACTTTTGAAGTGATGACATTGCCGAATCACTTTTCTAAAACAATTTTGCTATTATATTTGTTTTGTTATTACTCTCCGGTCTTGCTGAAGTACTTCTCAGCTTGCAAGGCTGTATTTGAAATATCTGCACAGCTAAAACAACCCATTCAACTAAACTCACCAGTATCAATCTCTGTGTTTGCATATAATCAAGCACCATTCTGTAAATATGAACCACTAATATTAGTTGTAATCTCATACAGATATTTACTTTTGGACCTTGCATTAAAAATAACCTTAATCAGTACAGTCTTAATGGTGCAGTGTCAGGGAGTCCTGTGTAAGCTTTCATATATATGTGGATTATGGAATCATGGATCATGAAAGACATTGTTTAAATAACAATTTCTCCACTGGATAATAAATGCTTGACTTAGCCATAAATAGTTTAATGAATCCACCAACTCAAAGAACAAACTGCACCTATTGAATTAATCAACAACAAAGACTGCAAATTTCTTCTATCTACACTGCCTGAAAATTTGTATTTTATCATTTATGTTTTTTAAATGTTTACCAAGTACAAAATGTCAGTACAGTTAGTTTCTGTACATTTTGTCAAATTATTGCTAATACTGTATTTTCGCACACAAGTAGTTATCAATGAACTCATTTACCAAAAGTAAACACATGTAGTAAACAAACAATATATATGATGTTGATATTTCAAAAGTTTATGTGATATTGTGTAACTGTTGTCTTCAGGAAAAGTCAACATCATTGTCTCTCTATGTGAATTGCATTTGAAAATCATTATCTTCCATTTTAGTCTTGATTTGATTAGATATCAAATTGGTTTTGAAGTCTGTACACCATATGGAACCACCATATTGGCCTGTATCCAGGGCCCAATCAAATTAACCAGAGCAACATGCTGCCACTCAGTTTTTCATTGACATGCTGCCGTGTCATCGCCTCCTGGAGGGCACCATCTCTAAGGAAACAGCTTTTTCATCTAGAAAACACACACACACACACACACACACACACACACACACACACACACACACACTTAGTCATTATTTCTAATGAGATTGTAAAAGTTGAAGGAGAGAAGTTATATTAACTCTTCTGGTAGAGAAAGACCTCTGTAGCTCACGTCATCTCCAGCTAGAAGCCAAGTCATTACCTTCTTCAAATAGAAGCTTCTCTATTAAATTTACTCTGTTGTGCATGCCCTCTGTAAACACATCTGTGGAATAATATTTCACATTTGTCCCCTTTAATGTGGAAGTCTAAATGGACTGACGTAGCTCTAGAGTAGGTTTCAAGTGGCCCTTAGAGGTACTGCAGGTTTTGGTCTTTCTGCTTTGGATTCATATTGAGCCCCAAAGGTTGCCCCTTGGGACACAACTGTAAAATATATGATGGGGTACCACCTATATGCTTTATAATTAATTATGTAAACTAGAACTTTTATCACCCAGAACATCATTCTTTGGTTCAGAACTGCAGGCCTTAGTTTCACTTAAGGTCAGTGTTCATGATTCGAAAAAAAGAAAGACACTGGGGAGAAATGACATGCATGGGAGAATTACAAGGAGAAAACCACTGCTGACCAATCTGAACACAAAGACATTACTGAAATTTCAACAAACAAACAAACAAAAAAAAAAAAACATGATCCCCCAGACTTGGGAAAAATATTCTGTGGACTGACGAGGCAAAAGTTTAAATTTTTGGAAGGTTTGAATCCTGCTACATCTGGCATAAAACCGACAACATTTTATTAAAAAAAACAATTATAGTTCATGTCCTGAAGGTCAAGCTCACTTAGGTTATTCAACAGGAAAATGGTATGAAACACCTCTGAATGAAAAAAAAAATCAATAAAAAGATTAAAGTTTTGGAGTGACCTCATCAGAGTTCAGACTTAAATCAGATTGAGATACTTGGCATAACCTTGAAAAAGGCCATTCATGTTCACAAACCGATAATGTGGCTGTCCATCCATTCCATTCTCATCCACTTATCCTTATTAGGTTCACGGGAGGGTTGGAGCCTATCCCAGCTGTCTTAGGGCAAGAGGCAGCGTACACCCTGGACAGGTCACCGACAACCATTCACACTCACATTTAGGCAATTTAGAGTTACCAATTAACCTATCCCCATTTACTGAATTTCTTTGGAATGTGGAAGGAAACCAGAATACCCGCAGAGAACCCACACAAACACAGGGAGAACATGCAACTACACACAGAACACCAGGAACACTGTACTACACACCAGGCCTGGTAGTGGAACTGAACTCAGGACCTTCTTGCTTCAGGACCTGGCCATTGACCAAAGAAGGTCAATAGCCAGGTAGGTTTAAATAGCTTTCTTTCCACCCATAATAAATGCCTTAGGGTTTAGGAGGTACATACACAAATAAAATTGAATTTTCTCCCTAACTCCAAGTTTGAGTGGGATGTGGTCAGAGGCAGCCTCCTGTCCCTGTCCTTTGGACTTAATCCTTGGCCCTTTTCCCAGGTCCTCTCACATTTGCAGGTCTATAATGGCTAGCTTGGATCAAAGGAACAGACTTTTGGGCTTTGAGCCAGTCCCTTCATGGACAGGACACCTACATTTCTCATTTATCTTGTCCACCCTTCTAGGTGGGGCGTGGATCCAGTTTTTTCTTCTCCTCAGTGAGCTGTTTCACTGATAGATGTTTAATATCACCACACAAACATTTCTCTTTTTTTTTAAATTGCTTTTGGATGCAATTATAATTCTGCAAGGAGCATTATCACCCTCTTGTGGGGATTTAACTTAACCCAGCATAGTCACAGATGTTCTGGCAGCAGCAACACTGAGCTTGTCCAACTGAAAAGGAAAAAAAAGTAATGCACAATTTTTTCAGTTGTGCCAAAGAGCAGTCTCATCGTTTCAGTGCCACTGTCAAAACCTCTTCATATGGCAGAATGGTGGTTAAAAGTATGATTCAAGCATATCCTACAAAGCAGGTTTTAGCAGACTGAGCTGCTTTTATACCCAGTTTCTCTGTTCTTATGCTGATCACGGATCATAAAAGTAGTTGTGATAAAGAGTGTCCTAAACAAATATCTAACCTTAATTTCTAAAATGAGTTCTGAAATTGAAAGCAACTAACCAATAATTTAAGTTACCCCTATTTCTTCAGTGAATTAAACAAGAACCAAACTTCAACTCCAAAAAAGCCATTTTTCAAAACTGAAAAGTGGAGCTACTTTTACTTTTCTGACATTTACTGTAACATAACTATATAAGTTCACCTTGGAAGTAGTTAAAGTCATTCACAATTAACTTGTACCTTTCAAAAACTTTACTCATATCCACCATTATTTTTTTTATGTTTTCAGAGATGTTACTTGAAAGCTGCTTCTGTTAGTATTAAAATATCAGATCAGAAAATGTTTTTTTTCAATTAAAAAGGAAAGTTTTGCCTCTTCAGAAAAAGGCTCAAGACAACAGTGGCTACTTATTCTTTTTCAGGCCAATAAAATCTGTCACTTCATACTATCCTCTGAGTCCATGCAGCTAGTTTATCAGCTAGGCTAGTGCTATAGGTAATCTATAAAAGGGCAGCTGAGAGATGAGAACCGTAAGCTGTACTAGTTTCAACAAAGACTGAGACAACGCTTGCCAACTTTCATGTTTCTGGCACGTGACACTACTCTACTCCTCCTGCTACCCAAATCTGTCCAAACAAGGTGAAGCTTTGTGGCCCCCTAAAGGCAATTTATCTGCTCAAGTACTGCAGATACAAGTTAGGCTTCATCGAATAGCCTAATCCTGATCTGATAAATAGAGGAGCTGAAGTTGTGTTGCTTCCAGCTGTTTGAGTTTAATACCTGTAGCTATGTAGATGACATGCACTGAAGAGCATATCTAATAGCTGAGCTAGCTACTTCATTTACTAGGGGAGCTTTCCATCATGAGTTTGTGTATTGACTGGTCAGTGCAAACTAAGATATGCATTTTGGGTTTTATGACTCATTATTCAGAACCTCAAAAATAGCAAGAATCCCAGAAAGGAAAAAAAAAAAGTAAGTAATACATATTAGTACATATTCTTAGAAAGACGCATAAATAGTATATCTATACAGTGTTTTGATCTCAAACCGTCACAGTCAAGTGTTCATGCAGTATTTTATTTCTTCTGTTTCATGCCAGGCAAACATGACTATGCCAAAATTTACAGAAACTGGGAATTGAATTACAGAGATCCTAGAACGCTTCAATTATTTGAAGAACCAAAAGTACTTTTACAGTCTTGTGACCACTGGGAACCTGGGTTTGAGCAATGCAGATGTATCTTAGTGGAAACCGTACCATAAAGGTGCTAACCAGTCAACAGGTAGTGCAGGTCTGAGGTAGTATTGCGAAACAGTTCCAGGTAAAGCAAAAGGATAGGCATGTAACACTGGTGGGAAATAATCTTCCGTTTCCCTCTCTGAATTTCCATGCTCATAGGTGGCTACATACTTACTCAACGCACCAGACTGGAAGGAAGTTGTAGAGCCCAGCCCATGGGTTCCCCTTTCTGAGTTACTATAATCAAGATTCCCTTCATCATGACCAAGTTGACCCGTTTCAAGCTGAGCTGGAGAAAAGCCAAAATCAGGCCTCAGGTGAGATGTTCCAGACAACAAGGTAGGTGTAGAGTCTTCCACAGGACCAAAACCAGAAGGTTCACCAAGCCCACCTGGAGTTGCCCTGAAGTTGGGTGGCAAGGTTTGAACTCTAGAGGTTCCCAACCTTACTGGGTCATGCATGAATGACACAGCAGGGTCATTTGGATCAGCAGGAACAGGTGGGGCACCTGGGAGGGAATCATAATGGAGGAGAGGCTGTGCCTCTATGTTATAGAACCCACCATCATTGGGATTAGGCAGGCCCCAATCTAGAGAAAAATATCTACAGTAAGTTTAAACCAAGGAACCATGTGATATATATATATTTTTTAAAATAAGCATCTATAAGATTTATAATCTCATTAAGGTGTATTCCTACCTTTAGCAGGAAAGCCATGCACGTTCCAGCTCAAGAGTGCAATGAATGGTAACTGACTGTAGGGGGGAAAAGGGTCATAAGCACTAAAACATGAACATTTGTGAATAAGTGCATATAATTATTTACCCACACGCTACCTTCCAAGAACCCATTTTGCTTGTCAGCTGCATAAATGAGCAACCAGCACTCATCTGAGTGCTGGTTAAATATGAAATGGCAAACCCTCCTTGGCCAATTCCAGAATGAGGAGGTAACAACACACAGCTGCCCATCATTGACTGCTGACTGAAAATCATAGCAGGCCAATTAACCATACCATTAACCTTTCAGATGGCATATATACTCGAGTGGTAGGGATGAACTGCTAACCATGTAGCAGAAGAAAAATGGAATTGAGGAGGAAGAGTAAATGTCATGAAAGACCAAGTCCCTCCATTGGATGTATTTGCATATTGACTTCATATTGACTTCAAATTGACGTACTACTTCTTCGCTTGCAGCACAACCCATACAAATTTAGGAATATCTATATCTAATTAATCCGCATCCACTAAAATTTACAGTTTGAGATTCTTGTGCAGGGACTTGTTTACATGTGGATTATGGTCTTTCCCCCCATCTGGTGACAAACATAAAAAGAAACACATTCACCATTTGAAATAAATGGCTGCATTATAAAGTTTATTTAATGAATCCATTATCTTGGAGCACAAAGTGTAACTTACTGAACAGAGTCATACTGGAGCCAACTGTTTTCTCTTTAAGGTGTTTTTACTACCTGAAGTTTTAGATCAATACAACAAATCCATGTCTCTGCCAAAAATAAGAACATCACCTATAGAGATCAGAGGTGTCAGAGTCAGAGCTCACAAGTTACACCAGAAATATTTCTCTTTTGAAAGGAAAAGCTTGCACCTGAAATCATATTGACTGGACTGGATGTATGTTCTGGCATGTTTTAGCTCAGTCTGTGTAGAGTATTCAATGATGATGCTTTTTTAATTATTTAGAGCATCAAATAAAGACAACTTTACCAGCCTATTTTTTTATTATATTAGTCTCAAATCACTGTCATCACCATATTTTTAAATACCACTCAATTTTAAAATTTCATGTTCAAACAGTATGGAACATGAGTATAATATTCTTGTCCCACATTTTACAGTAATTTCCTCAAATGCAATTTAAAGATAAATATGACATTGAGATCCTTTGGGGTTTTTTCAGCTTACCATGGAAAACTACTACTAATTGAAATTAATGGGAAGCTTCTGGACAAATAAAGGATTTCGATAAACACCACAGCCACAAAGTCTAGTATTGTTAGGCCATTTTTTCCATGATGGCACCACCTGTTGTATTATAGTTGATATTTATTATATGTGCAGTTCTTGAAATTTACTGTCCATTTTTCCAGACACATGTAAGCATTAGAGTTTGTCACTACCCAACAAATGTTTGATCTTACCATTAGTGAATACTGCACATTTAGTCTACAGTGTTTTCAGCTTTCAAAGCACTGAGCAAACATTTACTTTTGCCTTCGTGTGGTTTTCGATTTGTCTTCTGTTGGTACTGCATATTTTTGGCCTTTTGGGGAACACACTGTTTATTGATGGATGGCAGTAGGTCTGAAATTGCTTTTGCAAACTGTAATTCACTTGAAGCATGTCAAAATGCCTTATCAGAAGATTTTATTCCCAAAACAAGTGTACTGTGGGGAAAAATAAAACAATACACAACATTGCTTGCCAAAAATGACTATTTTCTTTACAGAAAATTTACTGAAACACCACGATCCTTTTGGTGTATGACTAACTAATCTCCTTTATTTCCTGTATCTTCCAGTTTTACCTAAATTCCACGATCCTGAACCAAATCATCATACCACACAAGCAAAAAAAAAATCAAATTGAATTGCTTCTAATTTCAATTTTTTCATCATTATTTCTATGTTTTGGGAAGCATCTTCTGCCAGACAGCACAAGATGAGTACTAAAGAAACAGAACAATGCTCAGCATGAGTAATGTGTCAGAAAACTAATCAATAAAGACTTTCATTCCATTTGGTATATTTGATCCAACTTGCATTATAGATTCCTTAACTTCACCATGAGATGGAGGGGAGGGAGGGAGGGTGGGAAAGCAGAGGAGAGGTTAATGGATGGTGGATGAAAGGTTTTCTGGTCAGGTTAAAGATCGCTCTCTCCATAGAGGGCAGTGGAGAAGGCAGTGTAGTCCAGTGCCCCGGGTGGTGCTCCATGACCAGCGTAGGGTGGCATCCTCATGATGCAATACTCTGCTTGTTCAGGGGGAAGTTCTCTCCTGAGCTCCTCTACAAGTATATAAGGCTGTGGACGTGGAAAGGTAATTGCATTTCAGATTCTTACTCCCATTTTCTGTTTTAATTTGTTTCTCATCTACAAAAAAGTACATCGTAAATCAGTATGACGTGGCAAATCCCTGGAAATAATGACAGGAATAGCTTATGCTAAAAATATCTGCCCATATGCCAGTAAGCCCCATACACACCTTATCAGCAGCGAGGATCCGGAAGGATGCCACAACCTGCTCGGCAGTGTCTGTATCAGCAGTCTCTCTGGTCATAAAGTCGATGAAAGACTGGAAGGAAACGATTCCCGTAGCATTGGAGTCTACCAGCATCATTATGCGAGCAAACTCCACCTCTCCCTGAAATAGGCGTGAATGAAGACCCATAATGACTGCATGTATGTGTGACTGTATGTGTGAAAATCAAACAATTGCAGAATTTACTAATAACACAGCTGCATCCAAATAACAGTGAAGCGCCTTACCAAGTCATATCCCATGGAGATGAGGCAGGCTCTGAAGTCATCTGTTTCCATTGCTCCATTCTTCTTCTACAAACCAGACGCCAAATTTCAGAAAGTGTTGTCAGAGAAATACAGAAAAGACTGAATACCAAACGTCATAAGCATTCAATATACCCTCAACATGAATTTTATGAGACAGGCTGCTCTGCTATAAAATAAGTTACAAAGAGGAAAACAGCTGTATATTTCAGTTTCCTCATCTTTTGGCTTTTTTTGATAAAAGTTGAAGATTTCATGATAAAAAAGCTTAAAGGCTAATATGGCACATGCACGTGCATTCACACTGAAACTGGGCGCATGGAAGTTGGAAACACAGATCCAAAGCATTCTTATCAATCACAAAAAGCTGCAGCATTGTCAGTTTTGTAATGAGATTGGAATTTGTTGGGTGTATTATCCAAGCTGTTACTCCATCATGGTGAGGGGAACCAGTATGTGGCTGTACAGATGTGACTTGAATACGTTTGAGACATGCTTGAGTAAGTCATCTATCATTGAAGTTTTACTATATAAAAATAATCTTAACCAAATATATATAGAGAGAGAAATACTTAGATATTTTAATACTTTCACAGCAAGATACCAGTAAAAATGTTTAATCTTCACCTTTAGTCCTGACCAACCTTCATATTAAATATAGGGGTGAGTGCAGAAGATTGCACTTTGAACTGGATGGGATTTAGCAAGTATCAGAGACAGTATTTAAAACATGGATGTAGCTTCTAGATCTGAAAAGTAAAGCCAATGAAGTTTAAACCTGCTTTCTTTTTCATGCAGGTTTACAGCCAGACTTTATGGGCACAACTGCTAGCTTCAAGTAAATAACTAAAACATAATTTGTAAATTATGGTCCCCATTAGAGTGAGGAAGGAAGATAAAACGGTATGCTCATTGGTTCATCAATCACAAGTCATTAGCTAATGAGCATGCAGTGTTGCTCAGCTTCATAGAGAGATCCAATCCTCGCTCACCACATAACGTTACAAAATACTGAGACGGCAGTGCCAAAAACACCCAGCTTTACAGAGAGACTGCACTGACCAACATGTAAAGCTGCTGTCGCTACATCCGTGTTTTATACAGTTTATGGATGTCACAAATACCACATAAGAGTTAACACCTGGGTTTTGATGCTCATAAGCTCAAGACACATCTCTCAAAACTGGGCTACCCCCTGCTCTTCTTCTGAGCTACTGAGATTGCTTTACATCGGCCACTGGAATAGGCAGAAAATGGCTCTAGTGAAGTGAAATGGCAAAACGCTGTACCCTGTCAAAGTGGTTGAAAGACGATCTGAACTCATTCATCTGCTGCTGACTGATGCCCTTAGCATCCCGGGTCAGGATCTGGGTCTCAATCTCATTGATAGTTCGGGCGATGGTTGTGAGGAGCAGCTCCCACCCAACACGGATGTGCTGTGTTGACAGACCAGAAATGTTAAAAGACTCTGGAAATCCAAGTTTATGTTGACAAACCTACTTTAAGAATCAATGTATTTTTCTATGTATATGTAGCTATAAAACTCAATTTCCAGTACCTCCATGGTGTAGTTGGTGTGTTTGTTATCAAACACAAGTGACTCCTGGATTAGCTGGTGGTCTCCCTCTAACTTGTCAATATTGGGTTTATAAGCAACTATGACATGCTCGATTTGCTTCAGCTGGGTCATCTGGTCCTCCAAGGTGCCTCCTATCTCCAGGGAGCAGCGCCCTATTTCCTGTTAGGACGGTACATGCCACGAGGTTAGCTCGTAAGCTCGTTTGATCATAAGATGGGGCTCTAAGAGCCCCATCTTATGATCAAAACTGGTCATGAAGAGGGTTTGCTTACTGAATCTGCAAAGAGCCAATTACATGTGACTGACAGTAATTTTACTCTGTATAAGAACTATGAGGTGAGTATATACATGTGTGTATAAATATATCCTGAGTAAATTTACTTTGTATTATTCAGATATCATCATCATCAGGAATGAAACTGCTATTCTACTTGTCTAAGTACAATGAATTAGAAAATAATCCTCTTCCATTTCAGACTTTATTTGATTAATGTAGAATTTGCTTATTAAGCCTGTATACTGAACCTCCATCCTGGTCTGTATCCAGGGCCCAATCAAATTAGCCTGGGCAGCAAACTGCCGTCTCAGCCTTTCGTTGGCATGCTGGCGTGCCATCTCCTCCTGGAGGGCACTATCTCTCTGAGGAACCAGCTTTTTCACCTAGAAAACATGCACAGATACACAGAACAGATACATTATTGCTGGTTGTATAAATTACATTTTTATTAAGAGATAGTGATTTGGATTGCAAACTTACTAAGCGATTGCTGAC